GCATGTCAGCAAGGTGGTCCAAATTACAAGGTCCAATACTGCCACATTGAATCATATACTTGAAGAGGTCTTTTCCATTCTGCACATTTTCATCAATGCCATCTGAAATAAATAACACAAAGGTCCTGAATTCCTATTACCCTAGGAGTGTAATACAGATGAATCTTTTTTCACTTGCGAAGATTAAAATTTATGGTCATTTCAAGATTTTGCTGCTTTTTATAACTAATTATTACCTGTAAAGAGGACAGATCAAATAAAATGACAAAATATGACATAATTAATCCCACATTACTCAAAGAGAAGTACTCAAAAGAGAAATTCTAAGCACAATTAGTTATAAACAAAGAGTTTAGGTATTTTGGAAGAGTGGTCACTTAGAGCCAGTGGTCATTATGAAAGAGGGCAATACAGAGAGTATTATATACCCAAAAAGTGGGTGTGACCTGCTTTTACACTCAAGGGCTCTTCTTAAGGAGAGGGCTTTCCCTGTGTCCTTATCACAGAGACTTCCCATGGTTTAACTGCTGAGGAAACTCCCATAATAACGACTAGGGTAATATTTGGGGAAAGAAACTTCGTAGCACATAGCAGACTATTGATCTGTGGGTATAAGGCCTTAATTTCAGATTCAGTTGCATTCCCTCACAGTACAGACACTTAAAAATGAATTTCACTTCTTCTTCTTCTTCTAAGTTTCGCTTGATAGTAGTTTAAACATTAAAAGGTACTAAAATGATATAAGAGGTTCTACTCAGAAAACTCTAGGCGCTAAGGATATTTCGACAGTTTGATGAAACGAAATATAAAACCAAGTTAATTACCCGGTAAATCAGAAACAAACTTCAACGAGTCGACGTTATCTCTCGTTAATTCATCACTAAGTTTCATCAGGAAAGCTTTATAACTCTTGTCGATTGGATTGCTAGACACGGCGCTCTCTGTTTCCATCGTGGTGTCGTTACCATTCGTTTGAATCTTACCAGCTAGATCTGCTCTACCAATCTGAGTCAACAAGCGCTCTAAATGACTCAAATTACCCGGACTTATCATTCGTCTCTGAAGCATGATCTGGAACAAGATGCTTGGACTCTCCGATTTTTCGAGGTCGCCCAAAGGTATCCGTCCGTGGCACAAGTGCTTTATATTTTGAAGATCCCGATCTCTCATCTCGTTAGAAATCTTATACAGGATACGGTTAGTCTCCGAGAAGCTATTCATCTCGTTCAGGAGCAGATACGTTTCGAAATTACTGCTAACATTCAAACATCGTCTCTCCCATAACAGAGGCCATTTTGACCTTTCCGAAGTATGAGGGAGACTGGGTTGAGGGAAAGTCCCGATGATGACGTCATTATGAAACCACAGTAAATCCATCTAATCACCTTTGGCAGAAACGGCTTCGAACAAGTTTCGCAGATTTCAAATTTCTCTGAATTATGATTCTATTATGTGTAATTACAAAGTAAACAATCATTTTTAGCAATATTATTTCAAAGCTGGTTTTTTAAAAAAAATGCTGCAACATTTACTTCCGGTATGACATCATGAAGCTTTCAATCCCTACAAGCAACGCGCGCCACCTTGTAAGCTTCCTCTTTGTTTTTCTGTCAGCCTCTAGCCGAAGCTACCTGAGGTGTCCTTGGTTTTCCTTATTTAATCCTAGAAATGGTAAGATTTGAATAAAAAGAACATTATTTTTGATTCATTTGATGACATTTTTTGTCTTTGGTGACACTTTCTGCATGTGGGATGATGCGATGGCAGAGATATCTCGAGATGGCTTTTACGAAAGTGTGACTCTTATCTTGGAACGTTGTAATTTTCCAAATAGGGATTTGTCAAAGTAATCAAGAACAAAGCGTACTTCAAGCGTTTCCAGGTCAAATTCAAGAGACGACGAGGTCAGTTTTACCTAAAGTACATGACAACAAACTTTCCTTGAAGTCGCTGTAGCCTTTTTAGGTCAAATCTTCCCATGCTACAGGAACTCACCGTTACATGGCTGTGTTTTGTTCTTATAACAGAGGGTAAAACCGATTATTATGCCCGTAAACGTCTGGTGACCCAGGATAAGAACAAGTATAACACACCTAAGTACCGATTTGTCGTTCGTTTCACAAATAAGGACATCACATGCCAGGTAGGTACTAAACTTGTAGAGCATCGTATGTAAATCTTAGTTTTCCCCATATTTTTAAAAACACGTGGAATCTTAAAGTTCTTATGATCTAGTAAATAATTCTCCTATTTAGCTGCGGCACGATTATGTGTTAATTTGATTAAGAATTTGGACGAGTTCAAGAAATCGTTTCCCAGCTGATGTCTGTTTTGACTGTCGTGGCCTGTTTGGCTAATAGTTCTATGAAATTGTGAGGAGGGAAGATTTACTCATCAGTCTAACAAAGAAGAAGAAGAAGAGGGTTAAATTTTGAGGAAAACTGAGGTACTGGATCTGTGCAAATTGAACAAGATTTAAGAGGCAGATGTGGCCAACTAATGGCCAGTGCACTGGACTCTGAGTTCAGAGGTCTGGGTTCAAGATCTTGCAGGGTCATCCTGTTGTGTTCTTGGGCGAATAGGGGTTACATGCGTACTAGTAAAATTTCAGGAAGTGTGATGAAATGCTGAGTAGTAACTCTTGCAAAGGACTGTAGTCCCATCCAGGGGAAAGAGTTTTACTCCCAGCCACCTCATTCTACAGAAACTAGGAAATAACCTCCAGTTATTGTTTTACACAAGATTAATACTTAATTATGAATATTTTGATGGGTGTCTAGAATTCTACTGGAATAACATGGCTTAATAAAAGTTGATGTCATCAGATTTCATGTTCCTTAATAACTGTACAACTTATTTAATTGTGAATGCATGGGTTCAAGTATCTGATACTATTATGTGAATATTTTGGATTGCTGTAAGTGTCGTTGTACACTAGTTATAGTAGGAAAGTAGATCAGTTTCCATTTTTGTTGAGTGCTTGATTTGAGTTGTGCAACTTTTCCCAAAGTTGTGTTAATCTATTCTGTGTTTTTCCTCTTTTAATAACTGTATCTGAAAACATTGTTTTGTCTAAGATTTCAACATTAAAAAAATACAAATATTATTTGTAATCAGCCTAGTTTTACTTACTGTAACTCATTATATTGCAGATAGCGTATGCCAAACTCGAAGGGGATGTTATCGTTAGTGCTGCTTATGCACACGAGCTTCCTCGTTATGGCATCAAGGTCGGGTTGACCAATTATGCTGCAGCTTATTGCACAGGTCTTTTGCTAGCACGTCGTGTAAGTTCTTTTGTTCCACACAATTAATCAATCGATATACATTACCTTATTACTTATTTAATTTTTGTTTTCATTTTTCCCTGTCTTTCTTCTTTTGGTAATCAGTTTGTGTATTCCAATCAATAAAGTTTGGATGATATGTTGTGGGATCCATTTTCACGGCTAAAAAGGAACAATTCAAATGAAAACTATACCCATGAAAGCATCAAAGGGGTTTGTAAACCAAATTTCCAACACTTACATGTAACTCAATCAGTCTCTTCAAAGTTGAGGTTCTCTGCTTTGGCAGGAGTTCCCCTTATACTGTACATAAATATCATCCTTTCTTACCCTCCACCAAAGTCATACTATAAGTTTTCTATTCAATCATGTTTACTGCATCTTTATGGGTTTCATTCAAAACAAATTGCAGGCAGTCTACTGCAACTTTTCAAGGCCTGTAACTGCCTTTTGGTTAGATTTAATATCAAGGTTTGTTTGGTAACCCATCATAATCTTGACTTTTAAGAGTATTTCTTCAGCTAACAAGGGCAAGAAAATTTTAGTTCGTCAGAATTTTCAGCTACAGTAAATTGTTGTTGTCAAGATCTGAAGAAATTGCATGTTATTCAATTTGCTAATTTTGATTAGCAGTTGTTTACCTACCTTATTTTCTGTGCTTCCTGTGACAGCTGCTCACCAAACTGAACCTGAACGAGATCTACACAGGAACAGATGAAGTCAACGGGGAGGAGTACAATGTGGAAAGTGTTGATGGATCCCCAGGTGCTTTTAGGGCTTTCCTGGACGTTGGATTGGCAAGAACCACTACTGGAGCAAGGGTGTTTGGTGCTCTGAAAGGAGCGGTAGACGGGGGCCTTGACATTCCTCATAGGTAAGGCAGAATACTGTTTAGATGTGAAACCTCCAGTGAAATAAAAAATATTCCAATGATTGCAGAACTTGAATCAAACATTGACATTTTGATTTGAAACTATGACAACTGAATCCTTTCATGCCAAGATTGATCTGTACTCAACCCTTTCACTATTAGATCTGACTTGTGACTCTCCTTACTGTATGCCATTTAATGCTTATGATGTTAGTTCAGAGAATTTAGTACTGGATCAAGTAATAATCCACTAATTGATATTCTCTCTACTCTCATCACTCATCTGCCTGATGTTGTATTGATGTTGTAAAGAGAAATTCTGTCTTCATCACTCAAGGGAGTCAAAGGTTAACCTTTAAACTCCCAGGACAAACCGAAGACTTTCTCTTTACCAAAGCAATACATTTTCAACCAGAAGGGTGCTGAGGAGAAGGAAAAACTCTTAATTATGGTTTATTGTTTGATTAAACACTGAATTCTCCGGGATAGAATTAAAAAAAATGTATCACAAAGCACAGAATTGTCTCTGTGCCATGAGAGTGAAGGGTTGAAATTCTCCTTGCCTCCTTCACACACTGTCAAGCACAAAGGTGGTGGGTAATGAAAGTATCTATCAGGAATTTATGTTGGGTCTTGCATATAATTGCTTGAGTATTTGTCTGGAATCTACCGTGCTGATTTGATGAACTTTGCCTTACTGAAGTGGTGACTGAATATGAAGAATGCTCTTTGTCTTCAGGAATTGCTTACTTCCTTTATTTTCCACCTAAGTATAGTACATTTTGCAACAGGAAGGACATGGAAAGGGAATCAGTTCAAGGTTACATGTGACCCATTGCTGTCATGTAATTTATTCCCAAGTTTTGCAGTTAATACTCCCAGTGATTTCAATTTGTTGTTCAGCAATGGTGCCCACTACTTAAATCACTTTCACCTAGCGTTTTAATGACAAATGCAATTATTTCTGTATTGTTGTTTTCCACAGCATGAAGCGTTTCCCAGGTTATGATTGTGAGTCCAAAGAATTCAATGCCGAGATCCATCGTAATCACATCTTTGGTCAGCATGTAGCAAATTTCATGACAGAGTTGAAAGAACAAGATGAAGAGGCTTACAAGAAACAGTTCTCTCAGTACATTAAGAATGGAATTGAACCAGATCAGGTTAGGACTTACATGTAATTTTATGTTTGATGAATGTTTTTTTGGTTGACCAAAATGATCTTAGTGTTTCTAGTAAGCAGTATAGTTGACATGCATTTTTGGAGATTGGTGCAGCGTCTTAAGGGCAGCCAAGAAGAAAATGGTAAAGGCAAAAGAAAATGTTTACCTCATTAAAACTCAGCTGTAGAAACAATAGTACTTGTTACATGGCCACCAACCACAGTTCCCCAATGGGCAACTTATGCTGCAAATACAGTGCTGTGCAGGGGATCAAAATTTTTTTTTAATGCTGTGGCAACCAATTTGGTGGCACTGTAATAGCATAAACAATCTTATTTTGATGGTGATAATCAAGTCCTTTGATTCGAGCAGTCTTATCCAAAAGCCACGCAAACTTTCCAGTTCTTCAAATTCTTCATGAACTACAAACAGTCTTGATTCCATGGTGTTCACAGATTGAGGAGCTCTACAAGAAAGCCCATGCTGCCATTCGTGAGGATCCTGTGGCCAAGCCTTCACAGAAGAAGGAAGTCACACCCAAGAGGTGAGCTCTATCAAACTGATTCTGTTCATGGATTGGTTGGTCAGTCACCATGGTGGTATTAAAATCTGGAGTTGCTTTGAACCTATTTGGTTCTGTGACTGTGGACATGGGTTATGATTGTTGCAGTGTCAAGCAATTTTTGAACATGCATTTTTTTTTCCCAGGTATAACCGCAAGAAGATGTCCCTCCAACAGCGCAAGGCTCGTGTTGCACAGAAGAAAGCTTACTTCCTGAAGCAGCAGGGTGACGGTGAAGATGAGGAAGAGGATGACGAGTGAGCTTGTCAGTTGAAATAAATTCCCTTTGAAGAGCAGAATTTTTTTGTCGTGGTCACTGTTCTATGTGTTTACTTTAAAATTCCCTTTCCTTTATGCATTTGTTAGTGCGTTTTCCATTACTCTTCTCTTTGTGTCTTATGGTACCTCATGTGCATGGTGT